AACAAGAAACTTTTCAAAAATTAAATTATATTCAAATGAAATTATCACCAAATCAACCATGTGTTTTTTTTTTTTTTTATTGGCAGATAACTGGTGACCTCTCAGGTCCTAACAGTACATAAGTTAGAAGAAAAAGTAATCAGATAAGAGAGAAAGAAAGTAGAGGATGAGGGATGAGATAAACAGAATACATAGGAAAGGATTTGATCATTTCGTACCAATTATAGAAATAGACAATCGACAAACACCTCAACAACTAAGAAAAGCACAAGAACTAATGAACAGAAAAGGAACACATTCAATAAGAAGAGAAAAGTAAAGAATGATAAGGGTATTTATTGCTCTTTGATATATACATTTTATTTTTTTTTTTTTATTTTTAACGCATCATATTTTGTGAAGAGAGCATCAAACAAGAGAGAGTTATCCGATGTAAGTTACTAGAAAAGAGTAGAGAAGGGGGAAATGATATGGACGCGATGATAGAAAAGAAAAGGGAGAAGCTTATATCTATATCAGAAGGTTTCGGGGAAGTCAGCAAATGCCATAATCTCATCTAGTTCAAAGTTAGGTATCGAATCACCTGAGACTGCATTGGCGGTCCAGGACAAGCATTTTTCGAGTACAGTGGAGTGTTTAATGAATCTTTTCGATCTAAAAATCCCTTTGATACTATGTTCTTTGTTTAGCCACCCTTCTCTGATGACATTAAGGTTAGCCTGCTCGAACAGTAATTCGCCATCAGTGGATTCAGCAAGTGCATCAAAATATCTGTTCCAGTATTTTAAGCACCGATCTTCTAAGGAGATTTCATTATATGCAAAAGAGAAAAAAGGATCCGACCACTGTAGACAGAAGAGTACCCTTTTCAAGCATGTGTAGTAAAAATGATTCAAGTGTTGTCGTTGGTTTTCGGTGAGCAAGGGGTAGAGCGGGAACATCCAAGTAAATATCGGGAGAACATACGAGAGAAACAGAGCTTTTCTTAACGCAGGAGAGGTCGAGCCAGATATGCGGATGGTATTTATCATACCAATACGTTGTCTTACTTTCAACATAGTTTTGTTGATAAAATTGCTAAATCCGAGTTTCGGTGTAAACCAGTAACCCAGATATTTAAACTCCTTGGTCCACCCTATTATTTTATCTCCTGCTTTCATTTCACATTTAGGTGGTCCAATCGCTCGTGCCGACCAGATACCTTCCGTTTTTGCATAGTTGATAGGTTGCATTGTCAGCGCAGAATAATATTCTAAATTATCTAGAAATAACCGAAGTTTTCTCTCTAAATCTAGACATTGTAGCGTATACTTCATGCCGATGCTTCCGGCAAGAATTGCCGCAAGATCATCGGCGAAAAAGTGGCTGAGGCAGCAGCCAAGAAAGTCTCCCATGTCGGCATGGTACGTGATAAAAAGCGTGGGGGATAGGATAGAACCTTGCGGACTGCCTTTCAAGATGTTGAACCATCGAGACCTTTTGCCATTAATTTCAATATAGGCTCTACGATCGCGCAGCCAGACGTCAATCCAGCGCAGATAAGCTTTAGGAATTCCCATTCGCTTTAGTTTCCCTATGCAGCCCTCGAACCAAAGCTGGTCGAAGGCTGCTTTGAAGTCAACAAAAACAGTTGCCACCGGCGAACTGTTTGCCATCAGACTCGAAACGTGTTCAAAGAAGAGAAGCACGCGTGTTTGAAGCATGAATCCTTCGCGAAAACCAGATTGAGTGTCCGGCAAGATCCCTCTTCGTTTTATCACATCAGAAAACCGAGTTAAAAAAAGTTTTTCATTTATTTTAAGAAAAACATCAAGGAGAGAAATTGGTCTAGTGAGGGATGGATCACAGATAGATTCTTTTTTAGCAAGAAGAAGAATGCGTGTATCTTTCCACTTGTTCGGCACTTTACTCTCTGAAAGTGACAGATTGAATATCTGTAGCATTAAGGACCAATAAGATGGTGGTAAAGAGTTGAACATATAGTTCGAAAGACCATGTGCATCACATGACTTCTTTTTGGATCTTGATCGAACTATATCAAGTACTTCATCAATAGATGCAGGAGGAATTTCCTCGTTATAATTCTCCCACTCAGTTTCAGGTGCATCTGTGTAGGGATGAGGACGGTAGATATTGTCGGGTGCTTTAAAGAAATCTTCGTAGTAATCAGCTGCAGCTTCACTCATTTGTTCTGCATTTTTGATAATCACGTTATTAGGAAGGATGAAACCATGAAGAGAAGAAGAGCTTGATTTCATAAATTTTTTTATTTTAGACCAGAAAGAAACAGATAGATGTGAGGATGTATTTCGCGCAGCTAATGAAGAGACTAGTTGGTTAGATAGGAAGGCATTAAGTTCGTATTTACCAATTTTTCTCCGTGATTTGATCACACTTTTTAAAACAACATCACCTGTTCTTTTTTGTTTGAAAGATAGAGCACGTGTGAGTGATAAATATGCTCTCAATTCTTTAGGTAATGCAATTCGATATTTATTTAACGGAAAGAGAATCGTGCATCTAGAGATGAGAAGCGAAATGAAAGATATGTAGTCGTCGTAGGTGTTATTTAGATCGTTTAAATTCCATCTTTTTTCCCAAAAGGGATAAACGAAATCGCAGAATGTTTTAAAAACGTTCCAGTGGATATTACGAGCAAATAAAGTTTCTTTAGATTTTATTGGCATTATTGAAAGAATAGGTTTATGATCACTCGAAGTTCCTCCCTCGTAAGTTTGTATACAAATAGAGAAACCGGAAGAGAAAACGTAATCAATTACTCTGTCTGATCTCAAGGATGTAGGTTGTGAGGGTACATATGGCGAAAGAGATTGAGAGTCAGCCCACAGCAACAATGAATCAGCTTTAGTTTTATCTTTTTCAAGATCAACATTGAAATCACCATAGACAGCGCACTTAGAATTTATAAACGGTGTTAGATCATCCCATCCCCATGCTGACTTGCTATCAGGTGCGTAGATTCCTATAATTCTAAGAGGTTCCTCCTCCAGTATATCTATGATACAAATATTAGGCAAATCACACCTAATTCTGACTGATTTTAGATCATTTCTGACTAAGATAATCACGCCACCGTTAGAATTTTCGCCCTTCTGGTAAAACATTTTATGCTTAGAAAAAACTTTGCTGCAGTCATGGTGGTCAAAACAACCCGTTTCTAACAGTATTAAAATATCAAAGTTGAAGGAGTTAGATAAGAGTACCACTTCGTCACGTCTAAGGTCGAAACCTCGAACGTTGAAAGAAAGGATATGAAAGGAATTAACTATACCATAGGTGTCGAAGGTATTAAATGACTTCCAAGTATTTAGACAATCGGATAACAAAGGTGAACTCTCCCATTCAGTAGCAATTTCACAAAATAGACGAAAGTCGAAGTAAGAAAGATCAGCCTGTGCTTTACAAAAAAATGAGTTACGTGCATGAAGGATGTTTGGATTGAAACAAGAAAAGAAAGGAGTAGAATTAGGTGACAGAGACATTATATATCGTTATTGGTTCTTGCATTATTCAGTTGTGAACACATACGAGCAATCTTGACTTTGAAGTCAGCATCGACAACTCTTCCATTTTTGTCTATATTCATCTTGGACATAAACATTGATATTTCGTCGAGTAGTGGGAATATTAATTTCGTAAAGATATTCTCACATCTAGAGAGTTTAATTTCATGTTGAGTAATATTCGTTCTCATATCATTGTCATTCTTAATTAGATCGTCGATTTTACTCGAGATAATTTCGTCGTTCTTTATCTTTTCTTTCATGAAGTGTTCAAATTGATCACTTTTGTTGACCATTTTCTGTAGCAACTCGTTTACTTGATTCATACCTTTGATTAAATTATCGATTTTACCTACAATTGCGTTTGTTGAGCCATTCGAGTACGTGTTAGATGACCAATTAAATAGATTAGTTGGTGAGCAGTTGTTGATGTCCGAGTTGTTGTTGTCGATTGTATGATTAATGATTGATGATCTTTGAGATGAGAGTAATTGTGGAAAGTTACTTGCAGATGAATTAAATTTTGGAACTGGTGTAGTATTATGATGAGCAGTAGAAAGTAGATGTTTTGTCAGATCTGCTCTGAATTGTTTGACTATAGGGCACTTCATGTCATTTGATGTGTGGTTTCCATTGCAGTGGATACATCGAAGTTGAATGCATACTTGTGTGTGTTCTTTGATATTATCCGAGGTAATTCCACATTTTCTGCACGTATCGAGAACTTGTTGACATTGTTTACGAAAGTGTCCTATAGCCATACATTTACTGCAAATGAGAACATGTGCTGGAGCAAGGTACTCGTCAACGTCATACGTGAGTGATTTAATAAATATTTTCCCCCTTTTCAGCAGTTCAACACGTTGATCTGGTTTTGAGAATTCAATTTTAACTAATTTAATGACCATTTGATTTTTATTTTTCATACGAATAACATTGCACACATTGGAGTATGTTTTTTTAATATCATTTGAAAAATCATCAAAGTTAATAGATAGTCCAACATTTTTAATTATTAATGAAAGTTGAAGGGGAATAGATGGTGAAGATGGTCGAACGTATGTAAGACCTAATAAAGTGTTGGGCCAATTAGTATTATCATAAAGAATAGAGAAAGATAAACTGTTCTTAACAAATAATAAGATATCACATTCATTTGGTGAACATTTGGATGATGATTTGCGATATCCACTTAATTCAAGATCGATTTTTTTATTTTCTTTCAGATATTTGCATAATTCTTCAGAGACTTTTTGCTCTTGGATTTTAAATGTTGAGAATCGAATAATAAAAGGTGGAAAAGGAAACCGAGTTTGAGCAAATGTTTTAGCTTCAACAGATAGCAAGTTGATGGCGGGTGGACTTGTGATAATATGCTGACTAGATGTTGTTGTTGCATTTGGATTATGTTGATGATTATTGGTTTGTTGCGGTGGTATTAATCGTTCAACTTCATAAGGACCACTTGTTTTGTTTCCATCGCATGAGTTGATGGGAGTGGTAATATTATTTTTAATATTATTTATATTATTCATATTCTTCATCATTGTTTTTTTCTGCTTTTTATTAGTTTTATGCGTTGTTGAAATTGTTTTAGTAGTAGGATCATGTATAAAATCATCCAGATCTGAATCAGGTTGATCATCGTCTGTTCCAGAATGAGGACGACGTAAAGGTGAACCAATTTGTTTTAAACAATTATTAGATGAGTGGGGAATTACATGATGATTTGAGACAGGTATTTGTTGATGAACATTAACTTGATTAATTTGATTAACATGATTAAGGTCGTTATTATTATCCAATAACGTTTCATATACTTCTTTGTACATTTCAGATGTAGATTGAGAATGATGATGACCATCTTGATGATTGCAACATGAGTTCTGCTTGTTCCGCTCATGACTAGAAGTCGAGGAACTTCTTCTATCCATGATAGAGAAAATTTTTACCAGAAACCTCTCAAGAGTGACTGGTTTTAATGATCACGCACACACCACGTGATAGAGAAAGGAAAAAAAATTCTTTCTCTTCTATATATATATATATTGTGTATATAGTATGAATAGGCACAAAATACGTCTTATCTGTAGCTTGACAATTTTGTGAATGAAATCAACCATGTGTTTCAACAGATAAATTAATGAATTCTTATACTTATCTTCATCGTATTAAATATTATCCTCATTTATGTCGACAAAATAAAGAATTAATGTGTTTTTATGATGAAACATATATGTGTATATGTGATCATAATCGATTCTCAAATTGTTTTATCTTTAATCATTCGATAACTTATGATTGTCAAGGTCAAAATTATTGTGAAAATAATGGTAAATGTTTTCAAGATAATCCAAAATGTCCTGTTCAAGCATTGTGCATATGTGCGGATTGTTATTATGGTTTAAAATGTCAATTTACTACGCAAGGTTTTGTTTTATCACTTGATTATATTCTAAGTTATCATATTAAACCAAATCGTTCATTTTCTCACCAACCCGCGATTATCAAAATAAGTATAGGTATAATAATATTTATGTTTATTTTAG